TGTGCAGGTCGGAAAGGACCCGAAGAGACACAGCCGTGGCAAGCTGCAACGTTACAACGTAAGGGCGCCTTTTGAACGTATCGCCTTTGACATCTTGGGACCTCTGCCACGAACTGCTGATGGCAACAAATACATACTCGTTGTCATTGATTACTTCACCAAGTGGCCTGAAGTGTACCCTGTTCCTGATCAAGAGGCTGTCACAATAGCGGAGGTAATGATACAGCACTGGATTTCCAGGTTCGGATTGCCTCTTCAGTTACATTCCGATCAGGGAAGGAATTTTGCCTCGGCAGTAATCAAAGAACTATGCAAACTACTCGGCATTGACAAAACTCAAACGACGGCCATTACATTACATCCCCGTCGGACGGCATGGTAAGAAGGTTCAATCGAACTATCCTTAATAACCTCTCATTAGTGCTTTCCAGAAACCAGCAGGGACTGGGACAAGAAATTATCGCTGTTTTTACTGGCTTACCGCAGTGCTGTCCACGAGACTACCGGCTATTCTCCATCCCAGATGCTCATTCGGTCGTGACCTTCGTTTGCCTTATGATCTCTTATTTGGTTGCCCTCTCCGGATGCGCCTTCATCGCCTGATGGAATGCATCCAAGACCTCCAGGCCCGGTTTGAAGTGATGCACAACTTTTGCAAGAGAGCGAAGTCATCTTAGGCGACGGAGAAGATGAAGACCCGCTATGATACCAAGAGCTACTGGACATCGAATTCCAACGAAGGAGACAAGGTGTGGTTGTGGAATTCGACTCGGACGGAAAGGACTTTGTCCGAAACTACAGTCACCTTGGGATGGTCCGTACACAGTCCTAAACAGGCTGAATGACGTCGTGGTTCGGATTCGCAAGTCTTCGAACTCTAAACCTAAAGTCGTTCATCACGACAGGTTAGCTCATTACTATAGCCATAGTACATAATGTAAATAATTGTAAATAGTGTAAGACCAAGGGTCCTTTTTGTTTTTAAATGTGTATTTGATTTGATTTGTATTTAGTTTTTGATTTGCATTTAGTATTTGATTTGTATTTGATAGCATTTGTTTAAGTTATCTATCGCATTTATTTTTCATTTTTTATGTTGTTTATTATTGTAATGTAATACTTATTAATGCATTTATGCCACAGTTGTAAGTTTAGCTTCCTGTCCAGGGATTGTACTGCCCGGGACGTGCAGCCCTTGGGAAGGGGGCAGTGTTACGAATTTGGTATTTAAAAAGCTAATGTTAGTTCAATTATAAATTAAATGGTTTTATTTCTCGCGCAGTGCAGCGCGTGACGAATATTAAAAGAAAGCTAAGCCGGAAAAATTAAAAAATACAAGAGCGCGTGCATTAAATAAATAAATATCTCTTTTTTTGATTTCGAGAAAGTACTGGAAAATTCTAGCGCGTGATTTTAAAATCTTATAAAAGAAGGAAACATCTCAGTTTTGTAGCAGTTGCTAGTTTGTTGTTGTTTAGAAAACTACTGTTGTTGATTGTAGCGAATTCGCGGGTTAGCGTTGTTTAGCTGTTTTGAATTACGTTCTATTGGATATTTGAGTAGTTAAAAGATAACTACTGTGAGATATTGTAATACTGCATGATAATTTGAGAAAATTTAAGCATTTTTGTTGTGATAATAATAAATTTTTGTTCATTTTTCCTCGGACTTGTGCATTCATTTCATAACGAACCCGTACGCACGAAACAATATTCTAAAAGAAAGAGTATGATATGGTGTGTGTGCATCAGTGTGCCTTTTAATTTGGTACATAGGTGCATCTAGACATAAGCCAGTGAACCTCGAAGCGATTTTTTCGAAATTCGAATTATCGAATTAGAGTGTTTTTTTTTTTTTTTTTTTTTTTTTTTTTTTTTTTTTTTATCTTTTGTGAAGAAATCGCGTCATTTTGAGACATAACGGGCTATAGGAAAGGGAGATTTTACTCTACACACTCTTTTCACATCGTGATGAAACGTAGGCACTTAGCTATTTTACGAACTTAAAATAAATTTCGTGTTTCAATAAATAGATTAAATGCGAATTTATTTAACAAAGGGAACTTAACATCTTTTCAACGGCGTTTTTTTTCTAAAAACTTTTTTTTTAAATGTACAGTTTATTTTTCTTTCATTTTTGGACGCGTTAAACTTTCATCCTTGCGACTGCTTTCACAAAACGATTTTGGAAAAATGATAATATTTTGTATTTTGAAAATACTTTTTAAATGAAGCTTCCGAGTACACTTCTCACATCTTTAAAAATGTGATTTTGGCAACAATTTTCCCTTCTTATTGTTGTTTATAGATTTTTGATGAAATCGCATCATTTTGAATAGTTTCATTCTTTTAGAAATATGGGTTTGGCAACAATTTTTCATCGTATTTCTTATGTCACTGTTTTTTAAGAGATTGGCATATTTCATTGTTAAAGTTGTTCTGCAGAGTAAAATTCTGCACGGAATGTTTTGTTTTTTGAATTTCTTTCATGTTAGTTTTTGTTTATTTCACTATTTGCAACATATTGAAAAGTTCTGCATGATTTTGTTTCTTCAACGGAAAGTTGGTTAATATTTTTATTAGGGTAATTAATATTTGTATTAAGGCATACAGCTTATTTCATTGTAAGTTTTTCTCTTGAAAATATAAGATAAAATCTCATTAATTATACTTTGCTTTTCAGAATTTTGTTTTTTGTTTTTTGTATTCTTTTATGTTAATTATTGCTCATTTCACTGTCTTAAAGATACTGAAAAGTTTTGAGTGATTTTTTAGGAAACAAAATTTTTAACCTCCTTTATACCATTTGAGTTCTTAAGATTTTGCAAAGAGAAGTTGGTTAATTTATTTATTAGGATAATTAATATTTGTATTAAGGGATATTGCTTATTTCATTGTAATTTTGTTATACGTAATAACTTTTCTTTTATGAAGTTGTTCTGCAGAACAAAATTCTACGCAGTTTTTAAATTTAACGATTGGTGTTCTCTTCAGCTATTTTTCCGGTACATTTAAAAGCCAGACGAAGGCTGGCAGCGAAGCTGCTAGTGTTTTAATATAGTTGACTCAATCTCTTGTCCGCTATATCATAAAAATATAAGGAAGGATTGTCTTAGCTCCTCGTCCTTTTCCATCCCATGTAAAAAGTGTAAGAACCAAACGATTGCTAGTTGACGAGTCTAAGATGCTGTCAAATTCTCGTCTGATATTTACAATTTGTGCGTTGAATGGGGAGGTAACTGAATAATGTGGACGCAACTAAATGTGATAGCTCTGAATGTGGAGCAGTATTCAAGGCGAGAAATCAAGAAAAATTCACTATGCCGTCAATTAGGTCGAGCCAAGATATTGAAGTAACTGGTAATATATGCTGGTTAAAAATAGGAAATGTATGTTTTAGTTCCATGCAATCGTTCCATTCAGTATTTTGCTTTATTCATCACTTTATTTATTTACGAATGAAACGAGTAAAATGATTGTAGTGGAGCTCATCTTATATAGGAGTCATTTATGAATTAACATAACTGAATCTTCGAGGTGAGCAAAACCTACATGATAAATTTTAAGAACACTGAGATGCATATTCCACAAAGTATTAACTTAAATTAATTTACGACGGCATTCGAGTACTCCAGCTGTTTTATTACGTTAAAGCAGCGGTGAAGACTTCAGCTAACAAAAAGACACACCTTCCAAGAAAAAAACATAAAACATAGCATCATTTGCTTCTAACTTCTATTAATACCTCTACAGTACGATAATCGAAATTATATAAATGCAGAAGTCAGCCAAGAAAAAGTAATCCGCAAATTGGCGAGATAAAAAAGAGTCGCCAAACATAACAACAAATATTAGGCGTGAAACCGAAACAAAATTCTTGCAAATCGATGAACTTGAGGAGGAAGAGCAGTTCAAAAGCTGAAAATTCCATATAGGGGGCGCGATTTGATCATGGCTCCGCAAACCCGATCATTCGAGGAAAACTCCAACTCCGCTGGACCTTTTCTGTCCTCCTCCGGGCATGCGTATTAGAAACTCTGGGAAGGGGATACAGGAAGCACATGCCTCAGATGACGCCAAGGGTTTCAAACGAACGTAAAGACGGCCTCTGAGTCCTATTACGAATGTGTTAAGGTTATATAAAAAGTGAGTTTATTTAAGTTCGGTAGTGACGTAAAAATACACGAAAAGTTTTGCTTGTAACATTTTACCCAAATCGAGACATGTTTCTACGATTAATTGCGCAAATGTGACTAATTGTGATGCAAACTAATCAAGTGAAAAGTGATTCAGGTTGATGGAATGTCCTATGCGTTGAGAATTTTTTATGAAATCCACCAAAAGATTCGTAATAAGTGTGCGTAGGTTTAAAATATCATGCTTTTCCCTTGTGATACAAATAATTTATGGGAAATATTATGTACCAATGTAATACATATGTGTTGCCAATAATTACGGTTATTTTTGGAATACGTATGTTATATTGTAGTAGCCCATCTGCTACCTGAGTTCAATTAAATCTACATTTAGCAAAAAGGAAACTTTTTTTTAAAAAATTGTACATCTAATAATCGTCAAGGGAAATGATTGCTTTAGTTTTGTACACTAAAGACACGATATTTAATTAACAATTATTAGTAATACTAAATAATACTGGAGAATTTCCTTTAGATTTGAAAGCTGAATAAACAGTTAGTAGCATATATTTATGCATTTCTCCATAATTTAACAGAGAAATAGTGCACCGATTTAAATTTAGAAATTTCATGAAATTCATAACATTTATTCTTTTGGCATGATTGAAAATTGAGTTGATACTTTGATATTATATATTGAAATGCATTAATAATGTTAATATAAAAATGTATATATTATATGGCTTTAATAATGAGATTTGATAAAAGTTATTAAATCTGAGTGGAAAAAAAAGTACTTGTCAAAATGGATGTTGCGACCAAAATGTTGTTTGGGTTTATAATATTCATTAACCCCTTATATGTGATGTGGTCAACAATCGGAATAGTTGGTGCAATTGCAGAAACTCAACGGCCAAGCACAAGAGTAGTTCAAACAAAATATGGGACCTTACGAGGCGTCATCGTAACGCTATCAAATAAACACTTGCAACCTGTAGAAAAGTTTCTTGGAGTCCCTTATGCTGGGGTTCCTACAGGTTCCTTAAGGTTTATGCCTCCGGTAACACCTCCACACTGGAAAGGTGTTCGCCCAGCCGATCATTTGAGCTGGGTCTGCCCTCAAAAGTTACCCGATATTTCGAACGAAACTGAGGCACTGAAAAGAATGCCAGCTGGAAGACTAGACTATTTAAAAAGACTGGTGCCCTTCCTGACCAATCAGAGTGAGGACTGCCTGTATCTCAACATTTATACGCCTGCAAACGGTAAGAGATATTTTTTACCTTTTATTAACTGAGTATTAATAAGCTCTTTATAATAAAATTTTATGCATATTTTCGTTCGTAAATAATCTTTTGACTGGGGCATGGGTTCTATTTCTTTGTTCTATACTCATAGTTAAAATAAATCAACTGAATTACTATAACCCATAAACGTCAAATAGTAGTCATTTACTAGTAAGTGGTAAAAGATCCTAGGGTCAAATAGTGATTCACTATAGATTTTTTTAAGAATATGTAAGATATTTTATCTCTTGAAAAAGGTATATTTTGTAACTTTTTTTGTGCTTTACGTGGAGATGAAATTAGGTTTTTTTAAGTGATGAATGTTTATATAAAAAAAATTATAGTTCCTGCATTAAATAAACTTATAACAGAGATTTAAGAAAAGATCTGAACACAAGAGACCTTTCTGTTCTCCAAATATAGACTGTTAAGACATATTCATAGAATGTTAATAATTCAGGGTTATACTCATTATGTTTCTTTGTTCGTAGGTCGATACAGGTAACTGAAGCATGCGTCATTAACGTTTATACTAGTTTCTTCAAACATTAACAAGATATTTATTTCAATGACTTCTTTCATAACTTTTACAGAATGCATTTCTCTGCCTCATATGTAACAACTATAAATATTTACTTTAAATTATTTTGAAGTATTTTTCCTAACGGAAGGAAAAGAAACTCTTTCCTTACCATTCGATGCAATAGATAATGAATATATTTATCATATTACGTAATGTGGAAATAAAGAGTAAATATAACTAACTTATGTTTTTATTTAGCAAGCATTTTGCTATAAATAATTCTTGATAATTTGTTTTAAAGTTTTATCTCCTTTCGCCCTACTAGAATTTTGATGTTCGGGCTTTATGATACGTATACGTATGTATTAAAAGTTTTAAGGTATCCATTACTCATATTTTCTGGTCAAATAATTATTTTGTATAAGTTGTTGCTTGGTATAAGACTATAAGTTAAAAACCATAATTTATAAAACTATAAGCTAAAATCATAAGTTATAAGACTATAAGTTAAAACCATCCGTTATAAGACTATAATTTAAAACCATATTTCGATATTTTATACGTATACATCAAAATATGTACTTATGTATAATAGGTCAAAATAGATCCTGTGTAATTTGTTTAAACGTATTCGTACCAAATATAACATGAATTTCTTCGATATCCTAGAAAAAGCACTGTAGGGATTTATTGTTCCCAACCGTCCATAAAATTTAAAGTGTCCAAAAATATATGCAAACATACATTATAAATGTTCATATATTTTTAACATTTACAAGAAATATCATTTATTGCTGACAAAGACTAATATAAAATATGGAAAATATCAAAAGGATTTAACTAAAACCATAATTTAGACAACAAAATATGAAACAGAAAAACAAATAGCTCGTTGTTCTTCAAAATTTATTTGTAGCATTTTAATGTAAAACTCTTAATGCAATATATTCAGCAGCACGAGCCTAGCGCAATGTATCCAGCATTTATGTATGATAATAGCATTTAAGAAACAAAATGTAAAAGAAGCATTTTAAATTATTCTGTATATTTTATTACTTTTGTAAGGAATTTTTAAAATGTCAGAAATCAGAAAGAATACTTAAATATTTTAAGACTTATATAAACGATGAATGAAGTGAAAAATCTTGAAGAATTTTAAAGTAGTTTGTTCTGTGGCTTTAATTTCGCTGATCTTCGTTGGTTATCTAGCTTAGTTACACAGCTAATATTTGATATAAAAAATTAAAGAGTTTTACTTTGAACAGCAAACACATATTGAAGCATGGCTCATCTGAAATATGACGTATTTTATTTATTCATGTAGAATAAATCACTTATAAAATTTTGTTGTAGGTGTTCATTTCGTAAGAGAAAGTGCTGTAATCTGTTTTGCATAAAATAACTCTGTAAACAGAAATGCAGATCAACTGTTATGCCTTTGAAATTAAAAGAATACCTGTGCTTCACAATATCCACCTCAGATCGGCTTTAGGAATGTAATGACTTTACATACTTTCTGTACATTACTTAACTCGTAGGTCGAAGTTTGTGCGTTTGTGCGCCAGCTACGAGTTAACTCGTAGTGTTGAAACTAAATAACGTTTGCATAATCCGAGTTCAGAAAACAAAACATTTATTTTACATATTTTAAAGAAATAACGTTCTGAAACAACATGTTTCATCTACACAATCAATCGACGCTCTCACCAGAGCATTACGCCATCAAACTTGGCACACATCCAAAAGTTCAAATTGAAGAATTACAGAAGCGTTGTTGTTACACAAGAAAAGACATATAGTTACAACTTCACACAATATAAAACAAAAACACACTTTTGAAAAATAGACAATAATAATAAAAATAGTAATAATAAAATTCTTAACAATATTTTCTCGATTATGCAACATACTCCCCCCTTTTTGAGTCAGTGGCAAACGACTCAAAAACATATGTTATCCTATTAAAAAGGTCTAGTACATTAGGCTTCTTAACAAGCCGTCCTGACGACGTAAATTTCTGTTTTATATGCTGTACGTCAGTCTGATCGTTTTTCTTATCGTCGTTAACGTTAGGCTCTTCAACTAAATAATTTTCACCTAGTTGTATCTCTAGTGGATAAATACGCTGAACGGGCCTTTTGAAAATCCCATTCTGAGTTTTTAGTTTAACTGTTCGAACTTTGCCATCCCGACCAGGAATTTTCTCTATAATTTTACCCAAAGGCCAATACAAGCGTTTTTTTGAAATCATCGCCTATTAAGACTATCTCCCAATTTTAGGCACCCGGGTTACTTTATTTTGTGGTTGTTTCATTATTAATTGCCCCAAATATTCTTTTCGGAAACGGTTCCTTAAATCTTTAAGAAGTTTTGTGCGGTATTTAATTCTTCTCAAAAAATGCTGAGAGTCAATTTTATCTATATCTGCCTACAAAAAAAAGTGCAATTGGCAATGTAAAAACATTGACGGAGTTAAAAGGATAGGCATCTTCAGAGCTCTCCGAAATATATGTTAAGGGTCGAGAATTAATTACCAACCGATCACAATCGCAAATTAAGGTTTCCAGTTCTTCATAAGATAAAACCGATTTTCTCCAAAGAGCGTCTCAAAAGTTCTTTAACCATGCGAACTAAGCCGTTCCCACCACCTCCCCACCAGGAGGCTGTTGGTGGATTGAATTTCCATACTATTATCTTTATCTTTTCCTCATTCTCTATTATGTCCCAGTTACAGTTTAGACATTTCGTTATAAGTTCCTCGGAAGTTAGTCCCATTGTCAGAATAAATAGGTTCCTGGTCTGCCACGTCTGGCTATGAATCGTCTTAAAGCCAAAAGAAAAGATTCTGTTGATAACGAAGTCACCAGTTCTAGATGGATTGCCCTGTACACAGCGCATGTGAAGAGTGCCATCCAAACCTTCTTACGTTTTTCAAAAACAATGGGCCAGCTAAATCTACTCCCAAAATTTCAAAAGCCCTATAATCTCCTACGCGATCTTCAGGAAGAGGAGTCACTTCGCAAGACATCGGTTTCGCTTTATATCGTTGACATATTACACACCCTTTTAAAACCATTACGCACAGTTTTACGTTGTTTTAGTATCCAGAATCTTTCTCTTAAAATAGATTGAAGCATTGAGTTCCAGCATGACAATGTTTCTTATGAACTGACTCAATTAACAATGTAGTAAAGATACATTTACTCGGTAACAAAATTGGTGTTAAAAAATTCAGAATTGTCTTTACGTTCCAATATTCTAGTTTTAACTCTTATAATATTTTTCATTATCAATGAATACATCAAGTGGATTAAGAGCTCCGATGTCAGGGAAATTTGAGCTTTGAACCAACCGAATCAAAACTTTTTCGGAATTTATGATTTCAGCAACAGTTTAGTTTAGATTCTTTACACAAATTTGATTTTCCTACAGTTAGAAATAAAACGTAACACCCAAACCGGGTACACGAATCATTTTCTCATAATCAGAAGCTCTTTCTGCATACCAAGGAGTGGTATCCTCTGAAAAGTTAACATTACTGAGTTTTACCTTCCTTTTTTGCAAGTCAGCTTCGTTCGGCTGAAAGACAATATTGGTAGACCAAAATTCAAAGGTTTCTCTTATCTAGAGAGTTCCCTTATACCACTCCGAGTTAAGCACTTGCTTAGCAGAGCAACCCCGAGATAACACATCTGCAGGGTTCATATTACCGGGCACATGGCCTTCATGATTCCGTTTTGTCAAAGTAGTAATTTCTTTAACACGATTGCTTACAAAGTTCGACCAATTACCAGGATTTCTGATCCACCATAATGCGACTGTGGAATCACACCATAAAGTTACATTTATATCAAAAACATCATTAAGAGCTTTACAAACAGAATATAATAATCGGGATCCAATGCAACAGGACATTAATTCTCAATCTAGGAATCGTCAAATTCTAAAATAATAGGAGCTACTCTAGATTTAAAAGTGTAAAAATTACTCTTAAGAGAGTAATTTTTACACTACATGAATCAACACTTCTCGCGAAAATACATCCTGCATAAGCATATTTGCAGGCATCGACAAATACATGCAATTCAACTGTTGCAAAGGTTTCAATGAATCGGGTGTATTGCCACATTTTTCAACAAAAGTATATCAGATAACCACACAAAAAATTTACTTACAAAATCATGAGGCAATACCTCGTCCCAAGAAAATTTCAACTTCCATGTTTCTTGTAACAAAAGTTTTGGAAGCAAAGTTATTGGTGCAAGTATTCCAATTGGATCAAAAATTGATTGTTTGTACAATAGACAGAATCAGTCTCTTAGTTACCTTTAGTATCACAAGTTATCATATTTACATTTATATTACACCTTAAAGTATCATTGTCTAAATTACCACAATATTCCTAAAAGAGCTGTGTCCCCCAGAATGTTTTGTAGTATATTTGGAAGCACCATTA